TGCATTTGATATTGCGAACAGAACCGTTATACTACATGAACTAGCAAAATGAATATTGGTGGTAGCTTACTCTGCTGGATAATAGGATACCTGTCAAATAGTGTATCCTCTGTCCTTTACCAAGGCTTCAGAAGTGATTCTAAAGAAATGTCTTTAGGTACACCGCAGGGAGGAGTTCTTAGTCCCATGCTATTTAATATTCTGATTAATGCTCTCCTAAATGCTCTACCTGCCTCACCTAAAATATAGCTATAAGCTATGCTGATGATATCATGATCCATACAACAGGGCATAAGAAGATGAATACCATTCTTAATGAAGTTCAAGCAATTTGTAATCGACTAGGCCTCATAATATCTTCCTCTAAAACTAAGATATTAACAAGCAAACGACATCCCCACCCATCTATTTGCAGGGTGAAATCATTAGCTACGTTAAAACTTACAGATATCTTGGTGTAGATGTACCCTTTAACAAATCCACTATACCACAATTAAACAAGAAATGTAAAGCTAGGCTAAATTGCTCTCAAAGCTGTTGCTGGCTACAATCCAACTATGGTGCAAATGTGAGAATCGTGAGAATGATGTACATAGCCTATGTTAGGTCCTTAATTGATTTATGCTGCTCCCATGTTGATATTAGCTAGAGAAAGTTCTCTCCGACCCTTGGAGTTAATGCAAAATGAAGCTCTCAGGATTATTCTTGGCTGTCCCAGATCTACAAAAGTTCTTAACATGAGGAAGGAGCTTGGTATTTCTAGTATCAGTGATAGGATTGTTGAAATTAACACTGTACTCGGTATTAGAATGTTGAGAAACGAACCAGACACTGTCACAGTGAATCTTACCAAGTGTCTAGAGGTAAATACACACAGATCTAATGGCATTAAGTATTGTGAAAACATGCAATTGCATTAAGTTTTATAACCTGCATGAACTGTATCACTGTAGGCAACAAGAGCATTTCACCCCTCCATGGAAGATGTGTTCATTAATATCACATACCTACAAGTTCCTCCCAAGAAGCTCATTGCTAGTAATCCCTTCCTTAAATCTCTTGTTAGAGCAACTGCTCAGAAGAAATTTCTCACCTAGCTGGTAGTAACAAGTTATCACAAGTTATATACACTGATGGATCTAAACAGGAGTCTTCTGGCAGGGCTGCATCTGCTCTTGTTGCCACCTCCCTAGTTAAGAACGATAATAAATTTGTTGAGTTAGGCATAAGAATTAACAACTGGGCGTCTACACTGCAAACTGAATTGTTTGCAATCCTAATGGCGCTAAAGCTAACCTATGACACTGAGCTTGACTCTATCATCATTACTGATTCTATGTCATCATTGAAGGCTCTTGGCTCATATAATGACTCCAACAACATGCTCATTGGGGAAACCAGGTATAGATACTCAAAAATTAGGGACAAAGGAATTAATGTACAATTGCAATGGATCCCATCACACATTGGATTACTCCTTCATGATAAAGTTGATATGTTAGCCAAGAAGAGTATCGAGAAGGAGAATGTAGAATATAACTTTGGTATAAACTGTGTCTAGACATTAGGAATAATATTAGGAGAGTAGTAGATATGAAATGATTGTTATAGGAATGCAGTTAGAAGCCTGAGTAGATCTATAACCCACTATGATAACATGAACGTAGATAAGTATGTTTATGGAGCAACTTGCAATGTGAACAGACTGACTGATGTTGTAGTGGCCAGGCTTAGGCTTGGTTACAAGTACTTCTGGCAGTTTGGGAGACACAAGATGATGATCAAACTAAATGTAAATTATGTGATCAGGCGCATATGGTCACTCTCTTGAACACTATGTGCTTAATTGTCCACTTATTGAGGAATACAGAGACAGACAGTATAATAACCTATGTGACATGTCAAGATATCTTATTAATGAAAATAAGATACCAGATATACTAAGCAAATTTCCTAAATTTGCTTGTAACAGATAAGTGAACTATAGATATGTAGATATAAATCCATATGTATTCCTGTTAACCCTTTGGGGCCTAGTTCCTAGGCCTTTTGTGTATCCATATGCTCTCACGCTACCGTCCACAGGATGGATATGGGGTGCACAATAAACTAGCCACTTCGGTGGCAAAATCTAAATCTAATGACACTAGGACAAGCAACTTAATTTATGTAACCGCATTTAATAGTGCAGTTACACTGAGCAAAGCATATATTACACCGTGTTAATAAATGTAAGGAGTCACTACACTGAAATACACTTTGAGCCTTTTAAAGTCTTAATACAGGCTTACAAATGACAGTTAACTGTCTATAAAGTAAAACACTGTTGCAGATGATCAGAAATAATTCTAGTGTAGCGGTGAAAGAAAGGTGACGTAGTTACACAGCATTTTGACAGTCGACTTCTGAGGGATGAATATGCGCTCTCTGATGACTCACAGAGCCTCTTTGTTGGCGCTCAGAATATCTTCTTTTTTCACCTGGTCTGCGAGCGGTGGTTTGAACAGTACAAGCATGGAGAGATATGTGGGTGATGGTGGTAGAGACCATGCTCTACCTAACATTGCTCACTCTTTAAAGCCATCTGGCTTATCAGCCCACACTAAGCCACTAGATAAATATTTGCTTTTACTGTAATTTTACTGGCAATGCAAAGCAGTGCAGACACAATGGAAGCAGATTTCACATTGGCTTCCTCGGCAGCACTGGCTTGGACTACCCGGGAGTTGCTTTCTCGATGCAGGAAAACAATGGTACAGTGGAACACTGTAGAACATTCACTAAGATGTGCTGGGATTCAGAATAGCTGTGGCTGCAGGCTAACTTGGCCTGGACTGTCTGGCTTGGAGTGCTGCTTGGCCTGGATCAGCTAAACCCACCCTTATCCCATATGTAGATAATGGCAATGAGTTAAGGGATTCCGGTGTATAGGAAAGTCGGGGAAGGGACATTCACCTCAACTAGACACACGCAGTATGGGTGTGAGTGGCATGCGGGTCTTATAGTGCCAGTCTCAAGGTCACTCACCAGGCCAAGCATTCCTCACTCATATTAAGCCTACGTTGGTACGGATGCTCGCACAATGTCCTAGGTCAGCGAAATCCACACAAACTTATATGTTTATAGGTGAACCTCTGGCATGTCCCACGTAAAAAGCCATCTCTGGTGGCCGATGGAGTTACCTGGTACTGCAATGTTCATTAAATTGTTAACTAAGCCACTACAGGAAACACTGGAATGCCAGCAACACTGTAGAACATATACGTAGGCACGCTGGGGTTCAGTACAGCTGTAACTGTAGGCTACCCTTAGTTTGTCTGGTTGGCTTGGAGTGCTGCTTTTAAGCCTGCTTGAATGTGCTTGCTAAACCCATGTCAACCACTTGGATATTTGCTTTAGCAGGCAAATAGGCACACAGGAGACACATTTGTGAGAAAAGTCAGGAACAAATCGTGGAGTGCGGCAGGACTGCCACGGGCACTCAGGCACTTTGTTGACTGGGAAAAACCGCCTCTAGACCATAAGTAAATAGAGGCGAATGGTCGGTTCCAAATCGAGGAAGGAGGGGAGGCAGGCGAGGGATACTGAAGGTAGGCCTTCTAGAGCCACTTCAAATCAACATGTTTGTGTTTCACTAGGTATAACACTAGTCACAGTTCACACATAAGAGTTCGAGCAGCAATGTAGCTGTGATACAACGATACGAGTTGCATGATGAGTTATCACTCGGGTGAAATAAGCAGTTCTGAGATAGAAGGCCTAGGACCTCACTCAACACACACACGTCCTCTCCCTCAACACTCAGGCCTTACTGAGATTTCTGAATTGTCTGTGAATGCATTAATTTTATTGCATTCCAGCACATAATGATGCAAGGTGTGACAATGAACCATCTGAAGCACTGGTAGTAGTAGTTACAGTAAGTATTAAGTAGTAGTAGTTGGAATTAATTGGTAGTAACTGGTAAACCAAAGCTGCAGCAGCTGTTACTTCTTTTAATATTGTGTAGTTTATACTTCCCTGCCCTCCCCTACCTCTTTTTCTTCAAGCTGTCAAAAAACTATAAGGTGGGGAGAGAGCCTTCTGCTATACAGAGCCATCCTTGCCTCAACCATCCAGACAGATGATAGCCCTTCTCAGCAGATAGCCATAGGTAGACTGTTGAATATTCTTTTTATCAGATTTTCCTATCATTTCTTCTAAAATGGTGTGTTATGTGAAATGGGAGTCCTGCTCTTTGTTTATGCTACTGTACCAAAGTGGAGACAGTTTGTACACAATGTACAGTGGTTTGTATTATGGTGTAATACAAACGTGTATGAACCAAAACAGAACGTTGTCTGTTTGTTTATGTTACTCCATGTCTCTGTCCCCTCTCAGTTACTCGTTCTTTCTCCCGTTATTCATTCATCTTGTTTTACTCACCTCTCGCCCTTACATTAAGATACAGGTATTTTAAAGTAAGTAATGATGAACCGTATATGCATTTTATTGCTCTGGGGCACTTTAACCTTATACTGTCAAACGTAGACCTACATTTGCTCATATCCTGCTCTGAATGTAGATCTATGTTTTTTTTTACGTGCTTTCAAATGGAGAAAATCAAGGTCGGAGCGTACACACGTAAACATAGATCTACGTTTGGACAGTTTTAGGGTTAAATGTCATAGTATATTACGTGTGGGTGGGGTGGCCTGGTGTGCTACCATACCTACCACACTGACTTCTTACAATAAAATTTAGCATACAAACAGAGGTACAAAAAATACAGGTAAGAGCAGCATGCCAAAGCCATTATATGCATAGCATACGGGCTGGCTTAAAATTAACTTAAGATTAACTAAGCAATGATGAAATTAATGATAAGACATTATTGTAAACAGATAACTATAAAATACAAATAATATATATACTACTCATCTCACCCTATATTAAGACTACAAATATTTTGAGGTAAGTAATGAGTGAACTGTGTGTATTTTACTTTTTGTTGTTTCTAATGCCTAGTTCGATTGCTACTTAATATATGTTAGTATAACATTGTTATCTAACATTTATATGCATTCATTTATAGGTGGAAAAAATGTCATTCTCCTTTCTGGCTGTAGCCTGGAACCTAACCTGCTGTATAAGTGGGGCCCTACTGTACTCATTTTTCTGTTTCCTTTCCCTCTTCCTTTCCCCACTTCAGTTTTATTCCTTCCTTCCTATCCCATGATACTCACGTTCTGCATGATGATACTGTAGTCCAGCACGAAGACAATTGTATCCCCAGGAGGAGGTGCCATTACCACTGAAAAGTTCGTGTTCATCAAAGTGTTCCCCGGGATTCTGAGAAAGCAAGCAGGGACAAAATTTTACCTAAATTCTAAAGGAAGAGGATTATAAACACTTAAATCCTAAAGAACAAGGTAAAATATATTACTGCTTAAATTGTGAGTAGAAAAAATTAATTATGTAAATTGTACTTATGTGTACAGGAAATATGGTTACATACTTTTACTTTAGTTCTATTTAGTAGGTGGGAATTTAGTTTTGAGATTTGAAGAATGCTTTTGATTTTGAACTAGATGGATGAATCATTCAGCACTCTTGGCAATAAAAAATAAATACTGTATAACACACACAAAAACACTGAAAGTATAAAGAACAAACAATTAAAAAAGAACTTGAATAAAATGTACAACACAAAATAAATACCATAATACCTAAAAAAAAATAAGCAGCATTAAATACAAATTTTATTAACCTGTTAATATCCAAAGACTTCAGAAAGCTTCAAGATCCTTACAGGCACCCAGGTAAATTATAATAACCAAGACAAAAATAAAATAGCCTAAGTCAGAGGCAAGCAGTTACAGTTTCACAGTCAGTTGCTGCATGTCACAAACTACAAAGCAGAGGCAAGAGGACTTGCAAACAGGTGCCTATGGGTGAGATATATGTGCCCAATCCTCAGTCGAAAGAAAGTTGACTCAAACACCCACATCCTGCCAAACCCTGCATAACTTGTTTCTTGTCTGTAGGACTCACCAGGCCTTCTACTTCCCAAGAATAAGTTTACTGTATGTGGCCAGGAGGTCATTGTAAAAGCAGAAGTCTGTTGTAAAGCAGCTCATTATTGCAGTCTTCACCTCAGTATCTCACTGTCATGGACTGGATGCCAACAAAACTCCATATCCTTGTGTGACATCTGGAGACAGGCTAACTACACCTAAACCTTTCAGACCACAGGATGAAAAGAAGCATACTAGGCCAGGGAAAAGAAGACATATTTTCAATCTGAGTAGAAAGTGAACTAGGGTCCAACTTGGTTCACTCTCTACTCAGGATTAAGATCATTAGGATTGAATGGGATCCACAGTAGATACAGAGGATTCATTTATTAACTGTGCTTAACCCTTTGACTATTTTGGTTGTATATATACATCTTACGACGGCGTACCGTGTTTGACGTATATATACTCGTAAATTCTAGCGGCTTCAAATCAAGCAGGAGAAAGCTGGTAGGCCCACATGTGAAAGAATGGGTCTGTGTGGTCAGTGTGCACCCATATAAAAAAACCTGGAGCATGCAATGCTTAATGAGAAAAAAAAACTCAGACGTTTTTTTAATTAAAATGCCAACTTTGTGGTCTATTTTCGTATAGTATTTATGGTTGTATTCTCGTTTTCTTGGTCTCATTTGATAGAATGGAAAACATATTATAGAAATAGAGGTGATTTTGATTGGTTTTACTATAAAAAGAACCTTGAAATGGACGCTCAAATAGGGGAAATATTTTATTTTTGCCAATGTTCAAAAGTAAACAAATGATGTCGTTGTCCAATAAATGTCCAACTAGCCATTCTAATATGCAGTCATGAATGGGTTGACATTATTTGTACAATTATTACAGTATTACAGTAGTCTGCATAACAGTAAATCTTCTATTTTTGTTTGAATAAAAATTCAAAATAGAAAGCAAGAGTAATATCAGAGGGGCATGGAGACATGACTGATGAACAAAGAAAATGTTATTTTAGAGCCAGGAATGTCTGCTTTGTTCATTCTGGACCTTATTTTGACATTGTCATATTTTTTAATTTTTGTGAAATTGGCCAAATTGCAAATTTCTGACCACGTTATTGGGTAGTTGAAATCGGTAAATGGGCAGTTTCTTGTACCCAATCGATAGAAAAAATGGAGTTCTAAAGAAATAGCTATGAGTTTGGTCGACTGGAACAATGGAATTAGCCGAAAATAGGGCTCAAAGTGGGCAAAATCGCCGATTTGTAAATATTGCCATGGTTGCTAACTTCACAAGAGCGTAATTCCGTCAGTTGCGACAGTCAAGGGGTTAATACACATCCTTACTGGCATTGAAAAATCAACACTACCCTAGCTCTTTGACCCATCAGTAAAGTCCTTTATAGTTGAAAGTCAGGGATCCCCCATCTACTGCGTACAATGACATACTCGAGCATTGTCCAAAAAGGGAAAAATGAGAGGCGCCCTCAGACATATCAAAGCCACAATAGAGCTGTCCACATCCAAACACCAAACACAGTTCGAGCAAAGGGAACCCTCTCATCTCCTCCACAAAGACTGCAGCTTAAGCTGGGTTGCCAGATGTATGCAGAACCACAATAGGTAGCACAGGCCTAGCTCCTCGCTGCTGAGATCCAGGAACAACTCACCAGATGCAACACAGACACACTCAACAAGAAAAGTAAAGAATGCATCCATGCAAGCTTTTGTCCCTGGGTGATGGACAAGCTTTAGAAAGCACAGCAGGGGAGAGATGGCCAAGTACTATATACGTATTTGGCAGCCATACTCCAGTCTGATATGGTAAATGGCCACATACAAGCAGAGCACAGCCCACTGATCTGCCCTCGCATAAGGTGAGAGAGCAACTTTAGAATGTCTAGCACCAACAGAGCATCCACTTTAACCTTTCAGGATCCAGAGACCAAATCTCAAGAGTGACAGCCAGGGTCCAAGAATTTTCAGGTTTTTTTTTCTTCTTATTTTTTCTTATGAAATGGTAGAGAATCTTTTTCTGAAGGTAATAAAGCAAGAACTATGATATTTGATGGAAAACTGACGAAATTACTCTCTCGCAAATTTTGATGCATCAGCAATATTTACACATCAGCGATTTTGCTGACTTTGACTCCATTTTAGGCCAATTACATTATTCCATTTGACCAAATTCTTAGCTATTTCGCTAGTATTACTTCTATTTTATCGATTGAACACAAGAAATTGCCCAGTCAACTGTTTCAACTACCCAATAAAGTGACTGGAAATTGGTAATTTGGCCAGTTTAACACAAAGTTCAAAATATTCCAGTTTCAAATAGGGTCCAGAATAAACAATGCAAAAATTCCTGGCACTAAACTAACATTTCCTCTGTTCATTAGTTATGTTTTCAGGCTTTACAAATTAATTCTATTTTGATTTTTTTACTCACATAATGAATTTTTATTCACACCAAAAAAATTGAAGATTTACTGTAATGCAGTGTTTTAATAATTATATAAATTAATATCAGCACATTCGTGAATGTATATTAGACCCACCAGCTGATGTGTATTGGACTCGTGACTACATTTGTTTACTCTTGAACATCGGCAAAAACTGAACATTTCTGCTAGTTTGAGCTCAGTTTCAAGCCATTTTCAGTACTAAAACCAATCCAAATCATCTCTATTTCTGTAATATATATTCCATTCTGTCAAATGAGACAAGAAATCGTGAGTCAACTGTTTAAAAAAAATACAAAAAAACACTGCAAAGTGGCTTTTTAATCCAAAATCACGGTTTGCAGTTTTTTTCTCTCATTATGCACTGTGTGCTGTAGGATTTGTTTTACATGGTGTACATTTACCACACAGATGTGTTCTCTCATATCTAGGCCCAAATTTACTGCTCACAGGTTATCTGAGTGAGCTGAGCTCATGGCGTAGATCTACGGTTTGGGCCCTGACTTCAAAGCCGTAGATCTATGGCACGGACCCTGAAAGGGTTAAGCTTCTTTATGTGAGAGGCCCACATCAGACCTTGATCACAAAGAATTCCCCCAAAATGTCTTTTACTGCTCATAGGGAAGGATCACACCATGGAGTAGCATATAGGAGCAAGTTATCTAGCCTGGGACAGGTAAAATGAACAGCCATTGAGCTTAATACCAGTAGGCAATAGAGACAGCTTGCACTCTAATGTTGTCCACTGCCACCTGAAGCCAGTGGTGGTTATTCCAAGAATAGATGTGATGCCGGCAGTACATTGCAAGATCATGTACAACATACAAGGAGACCTTGTCACCATCAGGACAACACCGACAACAACATCCATGGCTGTAATAAAATGTTGCCCTGCAGGACACTCTCCTCCAGGGCTGACTTCCACAAAAAGCAAGGACTCACCCTAGCTCTGAATGATCTGAAACTGTTGGAGAAATCAAAAGACCTGGGACTTACGTTTTCATATCGTCATGTTGATCAATAACTTCTTGAATGCTATGTTTATCACATAGTAGGTTATGCTTGGTGGGCACTGTAGTGTCATGATCAGTAGAATTACAAAAATTTATCACCTGCAATATAAATATTACAATTACTCTATAGTAATTTTGATTTCAAATACTGTAAACATATCAATTTCACTAAGTAAAACTTTACATCACATTACTCACTGAACTCTCTCTTTCTCCTAGTTACCAAACTGAATCTCGCAACAGAAAGTACATAAGGTTGAACCCTGGATAAAATGGGCCATATGGGTAAGTATCTTAACATCTGCTTCCTCTGTTAGCTAGCAGTAAATACATGCTGTGAAGCTAGTTAGATATTGTGGTTCACATCCTGGGGGAGTACCTAATAAAAAAGACCCCCCAATGGTTATCTTGATATCTTTATTATTCAATTATAAATAGCATTTATTAACCCTTCTCATGTTAAAAGAGAAGCCTTTGATTATTTTGTGTTTTTGGGCTTCCCTACCTCAGTGGGATACAGTCAGTCTGTTGAAAGAAGAAGAAATAGTATTTATAGAAAAATTAATTTGACAGACAATTTTTCAATGAAATCATAACAAGGTTATCTACAAATTACAAACTGATACTTGTATGTATAGGGTAAGCTTCCTTTGCATTTTCTGAACTTATAGTTTAAAAAATGCAAAATTTATTTATGATTAATAATTAAAAAATTTCTTTGCTTGAGTGCATATGACAAAAATATTCCAATAAAAATAATCTAACAAGCTTGGATAAACTTTTTCAATAGAGAATTATTGTATTTATTGCTTTATCACTTGAGGTGTCGAGGAAAGGGGAAGTAGGAGGTGGGGGTTATTCAATTACATAGTACATGCAGTACTCACCTATATGTTGTTGCAGGGTTGAGTCAAAGCTCCTGGCCCCACCTTTTCACTGGTCATTACTAGGTTCACTTTCTCCTGGCTTCACCAGCCTTTCATGAACTACTAAAAACATGCATGGATCACTTAGCACAAGTTGTGAAGAACCAATCCTCTACCTACTAATCAGGGCTCTATCCCTGATTGGTGTTTGCTAGGCATTAATTACAATAAGGACAAATACAGAAGTCTGAGGATTAACTATGAAAAAATTTACAGAAATTTGGGAACTTTCTTAGTTGAAGAAAAAGCTAAAATAGCATAAGAACATAAGAATGGTGGAACACTGCATCAGGCTTACTGGCCCATGAAAGCCGGGTCCAATTTGAACAATTTAAAAATTGTGCAAGTTTGTGTTCTTAATTGTTGGATTTATGATCCTTTAGGAGATTGTCATTAACTGCAGGTCCATTACTGAATAATGTGATTGTAAATATTACATGTCCTGCTGGTGGAACATCTTATAATAAAGAAGACAGATTAGATTAGATTAGATTAGATTTTTTATTTTGACAAATTACATGGTTGTACAGAGGAATATAACAGTTGGGTGTACATGCCAAAAGCCCCTCTGTATGCTGAGCATTTTGGGCAAACTTAAAGATATAAAGGGTGAAGAGTAGAGAATTTAGAAAGGAGAATGGAAAATCTTGAAGTGCAAATACAAGGAAAAAAAGTGGAGTGGAAATGTTGAGCATGTTTCTTTAAATTTGTTTCCCCTGTTCACCTAGCAGTAATTAGGTACCTGGGTGTTAGCCAACTTTTTATGCATCCCTTAGTTTAAAACTGGGCTTTAAATTGACCTGAGGCAAGATAAACAGTTCTTAGCTGTCAATTCAAATGATGAAGAAAAAAGAAGTGTTTATACAATAGAAATTTATTTCTTTTCTGCAGTATACAAAATGCAGTTACATGTAATTAAATAGTTTAGGCACAAAAGAAACCCCTAGTATGCAATGATGTTGGAAGCAGTTTTGTGCAGAGGAGGGGGAAGGATACAAACAGTATTATGGTTCAAGAATTAGGACTACTTGGTAACATTACAGGTAGTGACATTAAGTTACAAGCAGGGGTTCAATTCCTAGTCTCGGCATGGCCCACTTAGGGATTTTAACTAGGGAAAATAAGGACTTTTAGCACTCAGGAGAATGACACATTAAAAGGGGACTGTTTGTGGAGGATGAGGAAGATTTATAGTAGCAAACCCCTCAAGGGAGATTCCTTGCACCAGTGAGTCTCTCTTTATCCAAGAAATTGTACTGACATCCCTTCCCTTGGATCGAACATGACTACCCCCCATTCCTCCTGGCATTGTATGAATTATAGGGTTTAGCACGCAATCCCTGAGTGCAATAATAAAAATACATACATGTACCATAATACAGAAGTGAAAAATGGAGAACAGATGATAAAGTTTACTTACTGTTTTGAGGAAAGGCACAGAGAGAAGAGAAGAGGTAACATTGGTATTACTATCAGGTGTCAGGTCAGGTGTAAAGCTGCAGTTATCTTTATCATTTTGCATACACCCATCACTGTGGAAACATGTTCAGATTTAACTTTTAATATCAAAGTGTCTTAAAAATCTCATTTACTGCACTTACATTTATCAGCAGAGTGCACTCTATTTAACTAGCTGCATTTTGTTTCAAAATATAGTTCACAAGTTCACATATGAGCTCTGGATGTGTGTGGTAGGAAATGTAAGACAGGCAAAAATAACAAAATCATTTTTTTTCTTTTTACAAAAAGCAAGTAATTGTTGCAAAATTAGGTGACATTTATTTCTTATATTCTGGACGGCACCTGGTTATACAGCATTCCAGGCAGACTAAGAGAAAAAGTTAAAACTACTGTACCTGACAAAGTACAGCTGAAGTTACATTATTTGAAGGCTAATATAATTAAGTTGTCTGAATACATAAGTTTATTGAATATGATGATTATTATAAGTAACAAAACTATGTACAGTATATTAAAGCAGCAGCGGATGGGTCTATGAAAGATGAGGTGAATCATAGAATTGATGAGGGAAAAAGAGTGAGTGGTGCACTTAGGAGTCTGTGGAGACAAAGAACTTTGTCCTTGGAGGCAAAGAGGGGAATGTATGAGAGTATAGTTTTACCCAACGCTCTTATATGGGTGTGAAGCGTGGGTGATGAATGTTGCAGCGAGGAGAAGGCTGGAGGCAGTGGAGATGTCATGTCTGAGGGCAATGTGTGGTGTGAATATAATGCAGAGAATTCGTAGTTTGGAAGTTAGGAGGAGGTGCGGGTTACCAAAACTGTTGTCCAGAGGGCTGAGGAAGGGTTGTTGAAAGGGGGTTCGGACATGTAGAGAGAATGGAGCGAAACAGAATGACTTCAAGAGGGGTATCAGTCTGTAGTGGAAGGAAGGCGGGGTAGGGGTCGGCCTAGGAAGGGTTGGAGGGAGGGGGTAAAGGAGGTTTTGTGTGCGAGGGGCTTGGACTTCCAGCAGGCATGCCGTGAGCGTGTTTGATAGGAGTGAATGGAGGGCAAATGGTTTTTAATACTTGACGTGCTGTTGGAGTGTGAGCAAAGTAACATTTATGAAGGGATTCAGGGAAACCGGGGAGGCCGGACTTGAGTCTGGGATGGGAAGTACAGTGCCCGCACTCTGAAGGAGGGGTGTTAATGTTTGCAGTTTAAAAACTGTAGTGTAAAGCACCCCTTTTGGCAAGACAGTGATTTGGAGTGAATGATGGTGAAAGTTTTTCTTTTTGGGCCACCCTGCCTTGGTGGGAATCGGCCGGTGTGAAATAAAAAAAAAAAATAATTTTATTTAGAGATGAAATTCAAAAATGTATGGGGACTATTTTAGTCAATGTGTAAAAATTACTGGGGCAAAATATAATGGTGACAAAAAATGCATAAGTACAAATATTTTTTGGGAATTGGAAAAATTAGGTTGCTTTACATATATAGACATTTAAATTTAATCTATGTAAATTTTTTAAAAAAAATTCAGGTGTTTTTTAACTTTTTTTAAAAACAGAGTTAAAAACCCTTTTGCCCTCGGCAACATTCTATTTTTTTTGGGCCCTTTCATTTGTATGAGTCTTACTCAGATTGAGTCAAACATGTGGAATTTTAAAAGAGATACAGTGGAATCTGAATATCGGCCATAATCCCTTTCCCGAAGGTGCCCCAAATTCAAAAAAGGGCCCAAATTTGAAGCAATACTTCCCCTAAGAATTTAAAATTTTAAAACAATTAATCCGTTTCAAACACCAAAATATTAACAAAAAATCATTTTTTTAAAAATTAATTATGTTTTACAAACACAAAAAAATGAGAATAAATAAAAAAAAAATGGTATTTAAAGCACTTTTTCATACCTTTTTTGAAAACTTTGATGGTTATGGAAGAAGGGAGGAGGAAGGGGAATGATTATTGTTTGGGGGGGGAATATCCCTCAATAGGGTTCAGGTATCAAAAAACTCTTCTGGGGTTATTTCCCCCCCCCCGCCTGCTACACTCCCTGCCTCCCCTTCCCCACTCCCTATTTTCCCCGCTACATCCCCGCATGCCTGTAACTCCTGCCTGCCTGCTACACTCCTGCCTGCCTGACACCCCCCCCTGCCCGCTATGCCCCTGCTGCTGCTTTAAATCCCCGCCTCCCTTTCCCCCCCCTATTTCCCCGCTCCTCCCCGCATGCCCGTACACTCCTGCCCCCTGTAACTCCTGCCTGCTGCTACCTCCCTGCTGTGCTATGCTCCCTCATGCCTGCTAAATCCCTGCCTCCCTTCCACAAATCCCTGCCTCCTTCCACACCCCCCTGCCTCCCTTCCCCTCCCGTTTCCCTGTACACTCCCTGCCCGCCCGCTAACTGTCTTCCCCCTCCCCGTTCCCTGACATCCCTGCAGCTGTACACTTCCTGCTCCCTTTCACACTCCGTTTTTTTTTTTTTTTTTTTTTTTTTTTTACACAGGGTTGACAAGGTTAAGGATCCCTAGCTTTATTGACAAGTATTTACGGGTTAAGGATTCCTAACTTTATTGGCAAGCTAGGAGCTGTTACCTACATCAGCTCTTTTTAAAAGCATTTTTTATTGTTATGAGACATACAAGTAGGGAACAGGATGAAATTGGACCCATCTGTGGGCCAGCATTTTCATTGATCAACTGACTTTATCTCGTTGACATCATTATGCTGTACGAATGTGTTCCATAATCTAGTCATCCCGGGTATATATGATCTCAGATGGAGTGATGTTCTGGAGAAGGGTACAGCCAGAGAGAAGTTGCTGCTTTTGCCCCTCTTGTGGCATAAAAGCTTGTTTCACGCTGTCCTCGAAATGGGTCCAAGTGTGGTACTTTGACAATATTGGCCTTGTACATAACAGTAAGGCCACCCACATCCCTCCTATGTTGAAGGCTCTGCTGAAATGACAGATCTATCCAGGATGGGGCCAGGCGAGAGATGAGACATCTTGCTCTGTTCTCCACTCTGTCAAGCAGTTGCAGATGAGGGGGGAAAGGCAGGCAAACCAAGAAAGTGGAGCAAATTTCAAAGTGCGCACCAGGGTCCAAGAATTTTCAAAAGATAATTTTTTTTTTCTTATGAAATGGTAGAGAATCTTTTTCTGAAGGTAATAAAACAAAAAGTACGAAATTTGATGGAAAATTGATGAAATTATGCTCTTGCAAAATTTTGATGTGTCGGCGATATTTATGCATCAGCAATTTTGCCGACTTTGATTCCCATTTTAGGGCAATTACAGTATTAAAGTCAACCAAATTCTTAGCTATTTCACTAGTATTACTTCTATTCTATCGATTGAGCAAAAGAAATCGCCAAGTCAACTATTTCAAAAATAAAACAAAGTGACCAGAAATTGTAATTTGGCCAATTTAAGCAACGTTCAAATATTCCAATTTCAAAATAGGGTCAGGATAACAATGCAGGCATTCCTGGCATAAACTAACATTTCCTCTTTTCCCTCAGTTACTTTTTCAGGCTTTACAAATGAATTCCATTCCGATTTTTTATTCACAAAATGAATTTTTATTCAAACCAAAAAATAGAAGTTTACTGTTATGCAATACTGTAATAATTGTTTAAATAATTTCACCACATTTGTGAATGTATATTAGGCCCACCAGCTGTCATTTTATTAGACTTGTGAGGTCATTTGTTTACTCTTGAACATGGGCAAAATTTAACATTTCTGCTACTTTGAGCTCAGTTTCAGGCCCTTTTCCCAAAATTTAAACCAATCAAAATCTTCTCGGTTCTGTAGTATATCTTCCATTCTATCAAATGAGACCAAGAAATTGCAAAATTTAACTAAAAAAAACATACGAAAAAACACTGCAAAGTCGCTTTTTTTTAAACGAAAATTACGGTCTCAATTTTTTTTCCTCATTATGCATGTGTGCTGCAGGAGTTTTTTTAGTGGTGCACACATACCACATTGAGTATTCTCTCATATTTAGGCCCAAATTTACTGCTGACAGCTTATCAGAGAGAGCTGAGCTCATGGCGTAGATTTAACGGTTTGGACCTGAACGTAAAGCCATAGATTACGGCACGGACCCTGAAAGGGTTAAGATTTTCCTAAAGTGGGTCACAACATTGTCATTGTAAAAGTCACCAGCACGGCTTGCAATAGCTGTGTCAGGGTGATTTTCTTCCATTAAGGTTTGCACATCAATCCACTTTGCACAAATTTCCTTAATCTTTGAAGAAAACAACTTCCTCCATTTCTCTCTCCCCTCCTCTAAAGCAATTTCCTCAGTTGTGGCCTCTTGCTGTTGCAGATTTCTCTTGCAGTCATCAGTGGTTAGTTCTTCATCGTTGTCCTCCACCAACTCTTCCACATCCTCCCCACTAACCTCCAACCCCAATGCCACAATGACTCCACAACGCATAGGCTCCTGAGGGTTAGCCCCAACCCTTCAAAATCCCTCTCTTCTACACTTTGGCCACAATTTCCTCCAAGCAGAGTTCAAGATCTGTTAGCCCACTCCCTCCCAAGCCTTACCTATAAAGGTTTATGCAACTGAGGAAACTAAAAGTGACCTTTGCAAACCTCTTAGGGTCAATTGAGTGTCTGAGGTCACTTCAAAGCACTTTTGAAACATTGCTTTGGTGTATAGTTTTTTGAAATTTGAAATGACCTGCTGGTACATGGGCTGGAGGAGAGGAGTGGGGTTAGGAGGCAAAAACTTTACTTTAATAAAACTCAACTCCCCGAAATTCACTCTGGCAAGTCTGAAATATGAGCAGGAGCATTTTCTAATACCAGAAGGCACTTAAGGTCCAATTTATTTTCCAGGAGGTAATTTTTCACAGTGGGGGCCCAAAAACATGGTAAAAACCAGTCATAGAAAATGTCCCTAGTGACCCATGCCTTACTGTTTGCCCTCCACATTACACACAAATTATCCTTGCGGGCATTGTTTTTCCTGAACACACTGGGAGTTTCGAGTGATACACGAGTAGAGACTTCACTCTGCAATCCCCACTAGCATTACTACACAACATTATTGTAACCCTGTCCTTCATAGGATGGAGTGATTTTTTTCCCCCTG